AGCTGAAAAAGATAAATAATTATTAATTCCTACTACACTATGTTGAAAGTTCATGTTTATATTTTATTACTAAAAAAAAAGAAGATAAGATTCATGAATATATCATTTGAAAGATTGATACGAATAGTAGAGGCTCATATGAAACAAATTGAACTACGAGTTATTTTCTGAAGGCATATCGACTAATTTTGTTTCGTCTCAAGACTTCATGAAATATCCTGTATACTTTGCTTCTTTTATTATTCTAAAATTGTCTCACATGCACAAGGGTGATTTCTCTACAAAAGCGTTCATAAATGCTCGCATGCAGTGACAATATTAAACACCCACACGCACAAAATTTCATATATGTAAACGTGAATATAGTTTGCTCTGTGATGCTTTTCCCAGTATACCATACTACAGCGATTCATGCATCCACACAATTGTTTAAAGTTTTCCCGTTAGACTGAGTTATGGCTTTATAACAATCACATATATAAAAAAAAAAACTATTTATTCTTTAACAAGAACTCTTCTATTGAATATTTCAATTATTTGATGACTTCGTCTTGTCAATCATAATATTACAAATGAAGGCGCACAATATTTTTCTCAAAATTTTAAAGAAAAATAGTTCAGTTACTTTAGTAAGAGTCGATGAAAAAATGAAAATATATCTGAAAATAGAAAAGAAAAACTTTGACAAATGTCTATATATCTACATTCTTGTAATTTGACTGTATAATAAAACATACTTGAAACATTACTGATTTATTATTTTCTGCTATTGAATTTTAATTTTTTTTAAATAAAAAAAAAGATTATTAATACACGATTTATATTTTTTTTCAAAGTAAAACGATTTCCAGAGAACTAACAATAAAAATCTGAGATTCTATTTTCTTTAATTTGTTCACGCTCAAAAAAAAAAAACTTTCATACTCATCATCTTTGAATAACAGACAAAACGATGATACACGCGAGGTTGTGTCATAGTGCGGTCTCCTAAAATGACATAGGATCATAATGTCACAAAAGTATCTAGAAATTTTGTTCTGTTGACCACTTGCTTTTCTTTCACAGTAGATCTTAGAATTAAATTCAACATTTTTTTCCAAGATAATTTTCTGAGCTTTGTTTGCTAATAAAAAAGATTCATATATCCCATCAGTGGCGGCAGAGCCATTAGGCTTGGGGAGGCTCAAGCTTCCCCTAAAAATAGGTAGGGGAGACTTGGGGAGGCTCATATTTTGAAAAAAAAATCACAGATCTTAGCATGGATTTATATTTAGTATGCGAAAATTCTTTGAACAATAGTATGTTCAACCTCATATTAGATAGCACGATAAGCGGCACACCAATTGCGTTTAAGAAAGCTCAAGTCTTAGTGAAAAACCAAGAAGGACATCTGAGAGAGACTCGATATTTAAGAAAACTTTAGGAACGTCATTCCGAATTTGAGGGTGAATGTCACAAAATGTTACCAACATAGCTTATATTGCACGTATCTTCTCATAAACAAATGCTAAATTCTTGACTTTTTTCAAAGGATACGTTGTCGACAGTGTCTAAAATAACTTTTAAAAAGTCTCGTTAGCTTAATGTATGAAATAATATCTGTTTTTTTGCATCTGTTTTCCTTAAAAAAATGATAAAAATATGGATTTCTTATATAGATATGTGATTAAACTCTTCACAATATTCATAGAAAAAGGTTTTCCTGCTTAATGATAATAAATTTGGAGAAGGGAAAAAGAAAAACTGTATGACACATTCTAATTTTTCATAATAACAGTAAACTGAACGCTACTAAAAAGACCGAATTTTTATCAAAACCAAGTTTAATGTATTAAAACACTATTAAATGCAATGGTAATACCAGAATGATACGTTTCGTGTTTGAAGATCGCCTTAAAGACTTAAAAGTGAACAGTCAGACGATTACTCGTTTAAATACTGGAGGAAATTTAATTTAGAAGAGTGAAAAATATAGTATCTTGCATGTCTTTATTTTCAGTTCTCTCAAAATCAATTAAGACAACTAAAGAGAACATTTTGCTTCTTTAAAAACAGATTCAAGTTTTCAAGATTTTTGTGTGAAAAATATGTATGACAAATATTTTTATTAATTTCAACATGATACGACATAGCAATGTTTTATATATACTATCTTTCATTATTGTAAGAACTCATCAGGATAGGTGGACAAGACGTTGTGATGCATTGTTGTAGAGAATTCAACAACAACGTCTATATTTCATTTTGTCGAAACTTTTCTGAAAGTTCCTGTACTTAGGTACTTCTTTCATCGTCAACTGAACGAAATTGAGGCAAACACGAGCATATGACACCGAAGATAAAAGTAGACAAGACTTCAGATGAAGAACAGTTGAAAGATGAACGCTTATTCTTGCAAATCATGGATTTTTTTTTAGTAAAGTTATATTATGTTCTATCCTATGAAATAGAGAAATTTTTTAATTAAAATGAATACTGGAAATTCAAAAAAAAAATAAACCACGAAGGATTTTCAACTTCCAGGGGACATCTTTCGACAACGCTCCTAGATTATATCATTCGCCTATAGAAGGATATATATGTCAAATAGATGCTGCTCAAAAACACATTGAGACATTTGATATCTCTTGATAAAAGTTAAAGTGGAAAAGCTAGAAAATATCCCTCCCCGAACATCACCTTCTTATCATTCCTGAGAANGAATGAAAATCCCAAGCGTCTTCAATATATATAATTATTTATCTATTTATTTTTTCTAAATATATTTTTACAGTATCAACGTATTTGTAACATCGGCTATAGTTGTTTTTGTTTTTCTAACAGTACAAATCTATAGTGACAAAATAAATGAGTTTCTTTTACTGTACCAATCATGGGAATAAAATAAGAATTTTAATTGACAGAAAAATTGCAAGTCAGCAGCAGATCTTTCTCTTAATATGAGTTCATGTATCAATAATTTTCCTTTCTTTTCGTACAACTACATATGACGATCTTTTCCTTTTCTGTCAAATATGCCTTCTGTCCGACTTTCTTCTATGATCTACTATATATTTTTCTTTGATTGATTCGTCTTTTATGAGATTTTACTATCCTGTTGTATTGCTTTATATATTTGTCAGATATCGATTTGTCAATTCGCTGCAAAAAAGAGAATCAGAAATAGAGAACGTTATAGAAATGAGATTAACATATAATAACTATCGTTAGATTGAGTTTAGACAGATATTATGTAATGGAAGAGTAGGTTCACACTAATCCCTACATCTCCATCCGTATTCTTACGCATGTGCATGCATGTTTGAGGGTCAGATATAACGTAGTCAAACATTAAGCGATTTCTTATTGGATTATTATTATTACCACATAAATAACTATTAATAGATTCTATTCGGAGCTTAGGGTGGCGAAATCGTTTTTCCCTCTCCTTTTTCGTCAATCGACCAAGGAAAAATATGCTGACATTAGATCGTTTTGTTTAAATAAATATGCCGATAAATATTTAAAATAATGAAGAAAATATTTTACAAACTTAGATAGATATAATTATTTCTTTGCATTCATTGCCTATGTTCTTTTTTTTTTTGTTAGATGAATCATTGATTAGACTTTATCAAATAATTATATCAGAAACTTTCACTAACACGTAGTAAACACAATTAGTTACAAGTCACTGAATACATTAAGACCTGTTGCCTTCGTCACGTGGCTGAAATATTTTGTTTTTTGAAAAATTTGTTTTCATTGTTCAACCATGAATGTCTGTGAATAAGTAATACTGACAATGAAGAAAAAAGAACTTGTAGAGTCGTTCACATTTATCGCTATTATTCATCTTGCTCTAAACAGAACTTTTATTTTTGTACGCAAATATTGATTGATGAAACACGCGGTAAAATTCATTTTTTTCGTATCAATCAAGTGCGTGTTTTGTTCTGTTTTATAGACAAATTACACACATTTGAACTAAATTTATGAGAGAGGAATCGTCTTGCTCATCATTGTTACGGCGTATTCATAAGCAACGTCGTCGAGATACTTGGAATACATTCGTTGAACGTATCAAAGCTTTATGCTTGCAATTCGGTTGGCTTTTCTTTATGTTGTCGGTATCCCAATGCCATAATAGAGTGTACAATACATGGAAAGGTCCATTTTCAATGAACTTAAGTCAGTTTCAGGAACATTTAGAATTCAATTATAAATATCTAAACTATAAAGAATTTTCATATCGTTGGTTTTTCTTTCGACCTGAATATGTTCAAATAGAATTGGGTCAAAATGCACTTGGTACAAGCGCTGCATGTGCCTTTCAAATCTTACACAATAACTATTGGTACGGAAAATCGTTATATGTATTTCATCACGTGACAGAACCAAGTATTAATACACCAGAAACGACACTGTACATTAGATTTCCTGCAGATGAACAATCCTACTACCGAGTGCGTTATCTATATCAATTTGAATCTTTTAGTTTTGATACACTTAAGTGCATTGTCGAACAAGTCAACATTTTTTCAACAGAACTTAGTCTGTCGTTCGCAAAATCAATGTATATCAAAAACATTGAACAGATTTATGATCAAAATGCAACAGTATTTAACAAGAAAGTAATAAAAACATGTGGCATTCTAATTGGATACTTTTGTAGGCCCAAAAATGAATATCCTTATATGAGATACGAAGACGAATACTATAAATCTAGCAATCGATTTCGAATATTCGATATTTCGTCTTCATATATTACTTATATGTCTCATGTTGCGGTTGTTCTATTCATATGTTATTTATTCAAATTTCTCGTAGATGTCTTTCTTATTTTCAGTTCATTCGTTTGTGTATTGCGACCAATTCTGAATTCTTCTATTCAGGAACAAATGAGAAGAATAGACATTTTCTCTTTAGAGCAGTTAGACCAACTCTTGTTAAATACAACTTACGAGAATAATTATCAAGATTGTCTATTTATCGTGCACGACAAATATCTCGTCATGTCAATGATAGATTTTGGCGAAATTTCTGAAAAGGTTCTTCGACAATTTTATGACTGTACTCCGTTCATTATCATTCCTATTGATAATATTATTAATGTCAGATCGATTGGTATCATCTGCCATAATAATAATTTTAGTCAATACATTTCTTTTTCCACATACATACATAATATTAATTTCAATCCAGCACCTTGGTTACATAAACGATTGATATCCCTTAATGATCAATATCAACATAAGTATGTTTGAACTTTTGCTTGACTTGTGAAGAGAAAATGAATTTGAATTACACTATATTGTTTTTAGTTGGAAACAAAACAAGGATTTATATTGTGAAGAAGAACAAGGACAACGCTTATTGGAACGTATAATTGAAGAAGAAACTCAATATCAGCAGTATCAATGCAGAAACAGAATCAGTCAAGTATTTTTATACTCAACGCCAGCATCATCTCGATTCATTGCACAATTTCGCTTAGATGGCCGTAAAATAATCAGTAATGATCTGCTCAACAAAAACTGCAGCATTTGTCTGGAAGACTTAAAATTAAATCAATTCTTCGCCCAATGGCCGTGTGAAGCTAAACATACATTTCATTACCATTGTATGTTGGATGCTTTAAGAACAGGAAATAAGTGTCCTTTATGTCGTCATCCTGTTGAAGAAGCAAATTTACCTAATATGCAAGCTGCTATTCACTTCATACTAGAAAGAATGACATTTAATGGATTCGCTTGAAAAAAATAACATTTCGTTTTCAATAATGTACCTCTTTGTCAATTAGAGTTTCTATGCGTTATAAAGACAGTTTTGCATGCTTAGGATTTTACTAGTTATTAAAAATCAAGCTGAGAAAGAGTTCATACAACTTGTGTTCGATTCTATATTGATTTTATTCTATTAAAATCTATTTTACCCAATAAATTTTGTTAATAAATCATTGTCAGTCGTAGATATGCCTAGCAACTAATATCATAATTTCATTCTGACTAAGCAAATCATCAAATGGCCTTGACTTGGATCTGAATGTGGGTATGTGTTAATAGAAACACTCATATCGTCAAATCTTCAATTAGGTAAGATGTTTTTTGGAGATACTTGAAGAGAAGTTGTCGGCAATATTTTTTAGATTTCATTAAGCAATCATTTTTTATTTATGATTAACAAAATATGTGAATCTAAGTTGATTGAATGCATACAAATTGGCATCCATTGAACACTCTCGAACATTTCTTGTACACTTCATGTGCTGAATTGCAACAAGCTATTGTGAAATTATACATCTCCCTTTAGAAGACATTTCTGGAAAGAATTCTTATTCTTGAAATAGTGGAATTGTACCGTTCTCAGTTTCAGTAATATTATGTGTTCATTTGAATACTTTTTATGAGTTATTGTAAAGAAAAATGCCACAAAATGAAATATTGTTTCTCAGAAAAATCTTTCGGCATGATTTCTATAGAGTATACTGTGAGATACGTTGAATTGATTTTCATCGTAAATAAGAACCCACAGTAGAGTATGCCAAGTTCTTTGTCACCATCTGTAGGACAAACTGGAGAGTGAGGAGAGATTCACTTTTCTTACTATATCAGTCAGCAGTCGTTTTCAATGGTGTTTCATAAAGTCGCTTTATAGTACTGTTTAAACTGGAAAAGAAAAAAACTGGTGAGAAAAATTCTAGAAGAACATCATTTAATAAATGGAAGGCAGTTGTTTTCACGTTATCGAAAAGTAGTATTTTTTTCTTAAAAATGACGTACAGTCAAGTGATCATGAAAAAGACAGCATTTTTCGACCATTTCAATTGCATAGACAATTTTTATTGTTCTTAAATAATATTACATTTTTCTCTATTGTTATTTTGTTTCTTTAATTTATCAAGATCAATACCGAAATAGTAACACTTGTTCGAGTTACATATGGGCATGGTCAATCGTTACGAAATTTCTTTTTTTTACAATACAACGTCTATATATCATTAAGGACAAAAGCGAACTCTGTGATTTTTATCATAGATAAAGATCATTAAGATCTATTACTAGTAAAAATTTTATTGATTTCTCTCTAGTCACAGCTGAGTTATTCAACAAATACTGACCGTTAAGGAATTTCAAAAAATGGAAATTTTTTTGAGGGTGGAGCGAGAGTTCAGCATCTTACTACGAAACGAAACGGTATACAAATAAACGCTTAACACACAAGTTATTCAGTTTTCCACAAGCTTTCAGAATGTCAGCTCATTTATTAACAACCATGATTGTATAGAACAAAAAACTAAAAAATACTGTCCGTTAGGGAATTTCGTCATTTTTTGACGTTTCAAACTCGAAGGTTTAAGGATCTAAAATTTTCAAATTATCGTGATAAAAATATATCTTCTCCTGATCCACGAACGGTACAAAGATAGTTTTATCGTTTTATCAATTAAGTTTTATTCTCACAACGAAAGCATATAAAAACGGCTGACCATTTTTCAGACAAAAATGCAATTAAACAAAACTCAAAATCATGGGTTTTTGGTGAAATTAGTCAATAAATTTGCTTTCTTGGTATATAACGAAAGAAAGTTTGGGTTTCTATCACTCACCAATAAGGTATCTCACAGCTTACAACATGTTTGATAATCTGACGATAATGTGCTCAAGATGGCAGAGGCAGTTTTCTTTCACTTTTCTGACTTCAAACCTTCGAATACGATGGTGACCGTTAGCTGGCCATGCCCATATGTGTCCTTTATACCACCATTTTGATTTAGGTAACAAAATTGAGTGATTGTCTGGCACACGTATTATTAGTCTTGTACAAACAATAGTAAAATGCGCACCATTAAAATCCATTAGATCTGAATTTGGAGCATCAACAACTTACTCAATAACACTGTTGGGTACATTGGAATCAATAGTGTCTTTTCTGTTGACGAGTAATGTCTAAGATCCTATTTCTTTTATATTAAACGGATGAATGCAACATTGTAATACAATTTGAACATATGTTCTTTCTTTAAAAAATGTTTTTTTCTTCTGATTTTGATTTCATCATATCGTGGATGAGATGTGTAAATAATTGATTGACTTGCATATATTACTGGACCTCGTTCTTGAGCTTTTGCTGGTGTTAATCCACTCAACAAGATTGATAAACCGTATTCACTAACATTAAAAGAATATATTTTTTTTCGATCGAGTAGGGCAAAAATACGCATGCTTATCACGATCTCGTACATCACGAAGAGCACCGATCCAGTATGTGGGTATGAGTGTGGGGTGGTGCGGATGTGTGTGTGTATCGGTAACTCCATTTTCTACTCATACCCACACACCCACACCCTTATATTCTCCATTATTTTTTAAACACACGATTACAGTATTGAATCTCAAACGACAGAAAATCGGTGATAATGGGTGTGGATGTTATAGTTCTCACTAAACACACACCCACACCCCGTATTGTAACCAGTAGAGTAGATTAATGAAGAGTAGAGCATGCTTCACCGTAGTATGGTATTAGGATTAGAAGATACTTCTCTCAGATTACGGAATGAGAAAAACGTTTACCCTGCACATCAGTACATCAGAATCATATAATGGAACGTGAATCAATGAACTTTGATTGGGTAGTTAAATCCTTCGTGATTTTTCGTTACTATCAATGGTAGTGTAAAAATAGCTAGTTATTCTAGCAGCGACCAATGCTTATTTGAAATAACAATTTAGCTTATATGGATTAACGTTGGCTCAAATATGAACATGTTGGTCACCAGGTGAAACAGGGATGGGCGAGTCCGAGTCATGACTCGGACTCGAGTCACTTTTTTCTAATGACTTGGACTCGACTCGAACTCAAAAATTGGGTAACGGTGACTCGACTGTTTGACTCGAGTCATTCATTCGCAAAAATGTTCATTTGCTCTTGTTAAAAAGGATCACAATTTATAAGACTCAATTGTCTCTTTTTCATAACTTTCGTCCTAATTGAATATATTATATTCAAACTATTTTTTTCGAAGTTTTTCTAGGCCTATGTTTTGATATGGTCGTCAATGTTAGCATCCACGTATTACTGAATATGTTTGCTTTTTCTTGATTTTTTGAGTAATCTTTGAAGGTGTGCATGTGTATGTAATGAAATGAATAAAAACTTTGCATTGCATCACACGTCACGTTTTTTTATAGTACTGTAATATAATTATTGAGTGACAGTATTTTTGATCACTAAAAAACGATAATGTTGATCGCCACATGTTTCCGTCATTCATTTTACATTATTTATTTCTTAACGATGAGAATCGGTGTATAATGTTCTACTCATTCATACCCAGCTTCTAATTTCCACGGAAGCAAATTCATACCTATCCCTTAATAAACTTGCTAGAAAAATTATGTATGTTTGTGCTACATTAGAACCAGTTGAATGTGTTTTTCCAAAGTAGTGTTTTAATGAGAACGAATCATTCAAGTTTTATAGCAGTTAATATTTGTATGCTAGCATTTTTAATTTGTAATAAAACATCAATTTAATGATAATAAATAAATTTTACTTATAAACAGATTTTTATTTGAGCTTTTGTTTATAAAACAAAATCGATATTTTTAACTGTAATGTAGCACTGTATAAAAAGAAGAGTTGATTTTACTTCTATTATTTTGTTGATTAGAGTCCTGTAAGAGTATGAATTTCGTTACCCTACCTTACCCTACATTTTTTTTTCGTACCCTAGCCCTACCCTACCCTACTAAATTAAAAAATTACAATAACTGTATACTGTGCATGATTTCATTATTTATTGATGAAATGATGAAGTTAAATTTTACAAATGTCAAGAATAGTATACAAAGAATATCACAGGTAACATGAAAATCAGAGAAATAGTACTACATGGACCACGAATATTATCAATAATATGAAAAGAAGAAAAATGGTACTAAACTCCGGTACGCATGAGAAGACTCCGGGTCTTCTATTATGTCAAAGCGTGCAAAGTTTTCAGGAGTATTCTATTGTGTACCATTTATTTCCGTAATTTTTATTTAAGAAGGTTCTTCAGAAAACCAAAACGATTTGATGATTTGGAAAGAGATTTTGGGGCTTTTTTAAAGTGCAGAAATAAGACGGTCCTTATTCTTTTAAAATTTTCAGCTAAAAACCCCGAAAACTACGCTATTTTAGTGCAAATGTACTAATTAAAGTTCCAATTTTTCGAGAAATTAATTAATTAAGGGGGGTCATTTATTACGTCCGACGCATCATTCGTTCAAGGGAGTCTTCTATCGCGAGGATGGGTTTACATGGACAACGAATACTTAAAACAATATCGACAAAGAAAAAAGAAAGACGTAAACAGCTTTTGTCGCTTATTAAGGAATAACTCGCAGTAATCAGCCAATAGGTATTTTCTCATTATTCCCCTATGAATAGAAGATATTGTTCTATAGTAGGATTGCCAGACGTCGGGCGTTTAAATAGGCCAGATTGACATAATAAAAAGTTTACCCTGAAATACCCTACANTCGATCTCATCTATACGTTTCATATACGAAACTATGCAGCAGATTGTGCTCTTTCTTTTGGTAGGTGACTTCGAAAGAAAAGACCAAGCTATGGTTGAGAAAAAGGAAGAATACAAAGGGGGTAAATTCTATTGAGCTGCACTGTAAAATCAATCTTCTTTCATAATGATCTACTTCATTAGACCGTTGAATTATATCCCTGCAAAGGATCTAATTATCAATCTCTAGAAACCATATCTCTGTTACACTATCTACAATAAGAGAGATCTTCATTCTGGTACCGTTAAGACTGGAGTCGCGATCGTAGCGATTTGATAAACATCTATATGTAACAAATCTTTCAGTGAGAAAATATCGAAACATGTCACTGTATTCATCACGTGTAAATCGCCTTTTAAGTACATGAAGCGTATTGCTTCAAATATTTACACATTTATCAAGGATAAGAAGTTCTTACGAAAATATTTGCATCACGGGATATGTTACATTTGTTTGATAGCGACATCTGGCGATTTGACAGAATTATAATTTCATTATGAAAACTAGTGAAATAAAACTAAAAATATTCTAAAAATTTTTTTATATGAATAAAATTTCATTTCGTCTTCGTTTTCTCAACTAGTAAGCGGAGACTTTATTTGATTTTTCATGGCGAGCATTGGTGAGGTCAAACAACCACATCAAAATCCATCATTTCATTAGCTAGATGGCTCTATTCATTTGAAGGAGTCTTAAACACTGTTTTTTTCAATGTATTTTATTCATTGTAGACCTTTTTCACTGTTGTTATCCATCATTTTCGATCAACAATGGAACACGTATGAAAAAGAAAATAGATTGTTATTAATCTTAGTTTCTTTTTTTCATTTATCATCTTAGGAACGTTCTTTTCAAAAACAACCAACAATTTTCTTAAATAAGAAACAAGGTGCAGGTAAAAAAGCAGCTAAATCAGGCCGCGCTGAACGATACACACGTAATGTCGGCTTAGGTTTCAAAACACCACGAGAAGTAAAGAAAAACTTAAAGAATTACTTTCAAATGAATATTATTATTTTTTTCCTAGGCTATTGAAGGTACATACATTGATAAAAAATGCCCATTTACTGGTAATGTAAGCATTCGTGGTCGTATTCTTACTGGTACAGTAATGAAGCTTAAAATGACACGAACCATTGTTATTCGTCGAGATTATTTACATTATGTACGCAAATATAATCGTTTTGAAAAACGTCACAAGAATATGTCCGTTCATTTAAGTCCATGTTTTCGGTAAGATTTTTTTTTTTCGTTTAGTTAATTTTAAATCAATATTGAATTTTTTTTTATTGTTTAGTGATGTACAAATTGGTGACGTTGTAACTATTGGTGAATGTCGTCCATTGAGTAAAACAGTTCGATTCAATGTACTCAAGGTCGCTACAGCAGCCGGTTCAAAAAAACAATTTCAAAAATTCTAAACAAAAGATATTATATAATATCGAACGATAACAGTAACGAACATATTGTTATTTTCTTTTTTGTTTTGGTTTACTGTTTATCGTTATTATTCATATCTATTGATGGAAATAAGAATAAATAAAAATATAACATCAACTTAACAAAATAGTATCTATTAAAAATTTTTTTCTTTTTAGATTATTTTATATTTCGATATCATAGTCATATATATATATATCAATTAAATCTTGCTGTAAATTAAATATTTATTTCATAAGTTCTTATGAGTTATTCCTATCACGTATAGTTGAGTATAAATGTTATTATGACGGATGTATGATGTCCGTATGCGATGGAGAGAATTGTATTAACCAAAGAAAAACTTGTTTTTTGGAGATTCATCCAACGTAGTATAAGTTTGTTTTATCAAAAAGAAAAACAAATGTGGAAAGAAATGATGAATAACTACAAATCATCCGCCATGGTATCTATAGTAATCGACTTTTATTTAGAAGATATTCGTTTTCATTAATTGTAGGGACATACTATTCTATAGAGAGCTTGAATTATTCTCTTTTTCTTTTCTTTCTCTTAATGTAAATTACCATATGATTCGAGAACACAACATGGCGGGGGTCGATATATTTGCTTTCTTTTTTTTTTCTCATAGTCGCTTTTTTTATTTTTGTAGTTTCTCATCATATGCGTTCTTTTTTTTCTCTTTCTCCCTTCTCGAAGAGACTATCACAGCCTTACACAACATTCATTACTTATCACGAACGCTTGCTCACTATTATGAATAATATCCTACATTTCATCATTTCTTCATTTACAATACAGACATATTTTTAGATATTCATTTAATATAATATTTGAAATAAATACTGTGAATGTCATCCAATCAGGTTAATACAATGAGTGACAATACTGAACGGCCACCAGTTGAAGTGACTGATTGGAATGAATTAATTCAATATGTAAGTTAATTGAGGTAGTTAATAACAAAAATATTTTGTTTCCTTTTTATCATATCCGTAGGTACAATATTTATGTCGTAATACTGACAAAAAGTTTAAAATCTGTATGGTTGATGAAGAACAAGAAGAAATTCGAATTGAAAATAAAGATGAATTCGATACAAATGTTAAAGTAAATACATGTTGATAAATTGTTTTTCTAACTATAAAATGTTAATCTATTTTAAAGTATGCTCGAGATCATGGTCTTAAATCACTTATACTTATTATTTATATTGGTGATGAACGTAAATTTGATGGAATATATCATATACGTAAATCAAAAGAAGAATTAAATATTCCAAAAACAAGCGGTTTTCCTCTTGATAAACTTCAAAATCTTCGAGGAAATGTTCTCGTTGATAAATGGTATATACCAGTTAAATCAGAAGAAGCATTAGGTGTTTGTCTTACTGCAGCAATTAAATTAGCACAAGAAGGTATTTAAAAATATAGATTTTTTTTTTGTATTCTAATGTCTAATTTTTTTTATATTTCAAGGCAAACTTGATACAAATGTAGAATGTAAACAATTTATTGAAACAATTGTGCCTGAAGCTTTTCGAAAAGTAAATATTTTAGAAAACAAAATAAAAGAACTCTTGACAATGGAGTAAAAGAATTTTTGGGAAATTTGTTTTTTATGAAACAAATAGGATTTTTGGAACTTTTGTAGGTAACAAAGAACGAATTTTAAGTGGTTCTTGAGACACAAATAAAGATTGAATATTAATATACAAATTATTGATATACTGTCTAAATAGTTTAACTTTTGAATTATTTTTCCGGCTAACTCTCTGCTACCGAAAGAATGAATGCATTTTATTCGTCTCATAAGTGTTAAACAGTTGACTAAGAAAATGTAAATAACATCTTATTGTGTTTTCTAAAACTATTCTTTATCCAATAAACTAAAAGAAAAGTAAATTTTGTATTGCATCGTTTAAGGAACAAGATAAGATATTGCTGACGTTTTTCAAGTTGACCGTTCAAAACTTATGAGAAAAATAAAATGGTAACGCACTTATCATTCCGGCGGCAGGTTTAGTCGAACAAGCCGAAAGAAGAATTCAAAAGTTACTTCGTAAAAACTCTAGATTTTAAATCAAAAATACAATTCACAAGCGTTTTCTCGTTAACCCTTCGAGAATGAGAACCTGAATAAGCGAAGTTTATTTTGACGTAAATATTTCCAATTTCTGATAGTGAATAGAATAAAAGCAAACATTGCATAGGACGTAAATAAACAACGGTGACGGTGATTACTGATCTCAGGTAGATCGCTACACTAGTTTAAACCTTAACAGATAACTTCTATAGACTCGAATTCATAGACCACAAAACCTATTAGTCTATTTTTACAAAGCTCAGCTATTGTTTTGAAACATCATCTCCGACCGAAACAATCGAAATAAAGCCAAGATCATCATAGTTATATCATTCATTCACCGTTAATTTCTACTAGAGCCCGTCGGATCCGAGTTGGAAAATATTGAACTCTAGTGCATACATACGTGTTTAGAATAGTGAAAAGCTGTACATAAGACCTATGCACCGTCGCTGTTGTATCTCTAAAGATAGTACTGAAACTTAAATGTTTTTTAGTATTTATTTCTTCTATGAAAACATGTGAACTTATCTTTTTAATAGACTTCTACTAAATGAAAAGAATGAATTGTTAGTCTCACATACATATATTTAATTAACTTACGATTTGTAAAAAGTGTCAAACTAAAACGATCCATAAGAAATTCTTTGCTCCATCATTCTATAAAGTTGTCCATTCTTTTTTTTTTGAATATTTATAAAGAAAAACTTTTATATTTTAGTTACAAACTACACAATCAGTATTTTCTTGGCCACGTGAAGTTCAATATGGAACATTTGATATGATAGAATTATTAATTGATTTAGTTGGTACTCGTCTTCGTTATCCACCTGTACCAATTACATTATTAAATACACTTGCCATAGTTTGTTTTATTATGTTTTTTTTTTAAACAATTTTAATCATCTCATTGATATTCTTTAGACATTTGATACAAATACAACATTTTCACAAAAACATAAAGATGAACAATTACCAACACGTCGCATTTATAAATTAGATGATGAAGAATTTTTACGAAAAAGTTTTAATAATAAAACGGGAACATATGGTTGGCTTCGATCATTTATCCAACGTGTAAGAATATAAATACAAACAAAAAGAAAAACAAAATTTCATGATAATTTTTTTTCTTTTTTTTTAGTTCATTGCACAAAATGGTTTAAAAAATCTTCGAGCTCAATTTGAATATATTAACAATTCAAAATCAACAACAACAACAGCAATGGTAAAATTTTTCTTTCATATTTTTATTTATTTTTTTTTTAAATTTTATTATTATCCAGGAATACAATTGTTTACTTAAATTATTTTCAAAATGCTATCAATGTATTGAAGGACGTCATTTTCGTTTATTATTTACTCGATCAATTCGTCAAGCAATTAAATATTTTCTTGACGCAAAAAAACACAAGGATGAATCAAGTACACATGTAAATAATCTTATTCTTGTTTTTATTTATTAGGATAGTTTTATTTTTTTATTTTTTTTTATAGTTAAATGAATTAAATGAAACATTAATTGAACTATGCTTTAATTATGAAATGAACGATGAAGTTAATGCAATACTTGAATTATTAACAGTACCCATAAACGATGACACACCATTATTATCAACACCAATTGCTCCAGTAGGATACGAATCGAAACAAATAAACTTCAATTGAAACCTTTAAAAACACCTTTTTTTTTTCTTTTAGTTAATAATGCCATTAGAACAATTGACAATAACGAAAAAATCTAAAAGTCAGGATAATGATGAACGACTTGCTGAAGATATGAATTCATTAACAATGAATAATGGCGATGCTGAACGAAAAGTAAGCATTCAATAGTGTGTTGAATTTGAAAATATTTAGTCATGCACCAATTTCTGGTATATTATGTCAGGAGCCAACTTTTTATCTATAGACAACATAAGTTCCTGTGTCGTGTAGGTGAACACAAGTGCCTCATCTACAACAATATCCTCATCCGCACCCACACCCCTACTAAAATGTAACATTCAGACAAATTTTGAAACCTTTGTTTTGTATCCAATGAATTTTAACCACACTTTTGACGTCAAACTGATATAGAGTCGACAAGGACTTATGTTTTATATTGAGGAAAAAATGTCATCTTTGGCATGATCTTCTAGAAATTGGTGCATACTTACAAAATATAAAATTCTGTTGTTGTTATTTTTTTGCTTCTTTTTAAAAGAATATTAAAAAACAACGTACAGAGGAACAAGTAATAACACCTTTATTTTCACGCAATCATCCGACTGATTGTACTACTGATGTAAGATTAGAAAGAAAAACAAAATACAACAAACTTTGTTTTTTTCCTACAGGATTTATTATCATCATCAGAAAAACGTTCACTTAAACGAAAACATCGTCGAGAACAACAACGTCATATTGCTAAAAAAGAAAATAAACGATCAAATACTATGCCAATTAAAACTTATGATCGGTAAATTAATTTACATAGAATTTTTATTTTCAAAAAGAAATTTATATGTTCTTCTTCTTTTTATTAAAGATCAAATCCAGATGATATTATTCGTTTTTTTGGACCCATGACAGTAAAAGTTGGAAATCTTTATGATCAGCTTCAAACAGCTACATGTAATGGAAATATACGTGAAGTTTTAAAAATTGAAGAAAAACTTAAATTACTTCGGTATGAATAAAATTATTAATTTAATAAAAAGATAATTAACATTATATCGAAAATAAATATATTTTAAGATATGTTGATATGATCAAGTTCTGTCTTAGCAAAGTTTTTTTTTATTATGTAGTTTGGATATGAGTAAGAGTAAAACAGTTTAATTCATGAGTTTAGAATTCATAAAATCGACTATTTTTCTCTTAAACCCAAAGTAGATTATCAGAATGAAAAAAACAAATACTTTTTCTTTTTTTTTTTTTTTTTACAAGAAATGAGATTTAGACACACGGTTTATTTCAATATCTTACATATTTCATATTAGAATTCTCTGTTAAAGATATCTGTGTACTTAATTTCTCTTCATAAGTTATTCAATGTTTGAAGAGATTGAAGCTGATCAATAGAAAAATATAAAGCGATTCTCGCTACGTTGAAGTGGGCACGTTATTCGACACGTACCCACAGCGCACTGTATCAAAGCCATGGTAACATTGTGACATACAGCTGCACTTGTGATCACTAGAGCCCGTCGGCTTTGACCCGGGCTCGGATCCGAACCCGGTCGGGTCCGGGTCCAAGAATTTAATTTTTATCTGGTCCGGATCCGGGTCTAAAGCAATTTTTGATGCATATGAGAATATTTTTCGACGTTTTACTGATGTTCAGTTTTCTCTGAAGAGCTAGTTGCTTTTGGTTGTTAGTGTTGAAAATAAATCGTTTATGTTCAATAGAACACATTGCTTTGGTCTCAGACACTGACGAGATCAGGTCCGGGTAAGGTTCGAGTCCAAGAAAAGTTCAACAAAGCGGATTCGGGTCCACAAATATTGTACCCGACGGGCTCTAGTAATCACCTTAGATATGAGCAAGATGTTTTCGACGAGATTGAAACTAAAGCTAAAAACGATTGGTCTTATTTGTTACTAAGCTAGCTGGTAGTGTTTGGAAAGCTCAAGCAATTGAGCGCAAAAGCTTTGCGTTAACTGGGACATTTTGTCTCGAGCTCGAGTTAGTATTGATTGTACGGAAGGTAGCGGACCATTGAATTTGTCACTAGACAGCATCCTGTACCGCAGAGTAGGCGAAAGGCAGGGGTAGTCTTCTTTCCAAATAACAATCGGTTAGTATTCTCATACCAAGAGTAAATAAAACTCATTCTATAAAGTATTGGATCATATTACAAAAAAAAGATTTTCTGTTATTTTGTAAATATTTTATTTTTATGATTTCGACTAAAGTATGTGTACCTACTCCTCTATAACTTCATTATACTATGGCTCATATTCGTCTTAATCATTTCTAATGTTACTTGTTTTTCTAGTCCATATTCGGCTCGTTTTGTTGCTGATGAAAATACTCCTGATGGAACACCTATGCAACCAGGACAAGTATTTCGTAAAGGTTGGATACTTCTTAATGATGGTTCTATGCCATGGTCAAGTGAAGATATACAGCTCGTCAATTTAGCTGATGGTATTAAAGTTGTTAAACAACCTGTTATTCCTGTTACTGCACCGCATGATCGAGTACTTATAACCGTTGATTATATGTGTGCTCATGAACCAGGCACTTATGAAAGTAAATGGATTCTTTCTTATCGTCATCAAACATTTGGTCCAATGATTTGGTGTTCAATAGAAGTTGGTTCTTCAACAGTAACAAGTATGTATTTATCAATGAAAGAATAAGTCGGATAGATCATGGACATGTAGCGCACCCATATTTCTTTTGAAATATGTTTTTTTGGTTCCATTTTTTCATGTCCAAAATTAACAATTCCAGATGTTTTCTTCATTCGTTTTTTTTTCTATCCAAAAAACAAAATTTGAAGGAACGTTTTGTACAAAATAAATATTATGTCTTTGTTTTCTAGAACCGACAAATACATTAAAAGAAACATTCGAAGTAGTTGATGTACCATTACCAGCTTGTTTCGATTTATCAAAACCGTATCAATTAACATCAAGCAATAGTTCATCTCGTGTACGTATATTCTATTTACTAATAATCTTACTATAGTTTATTTTATTAGTCAAGCTTTATTTTGCCTCGTACAAATTCCACGGATACACAATCGGAACCATTAGTTGATATTTTCACAAATTCAACATCTAGTGATAATGATAGCCTTTCAACTTTTATGCGTTCACCATCACCAATATTAACAAAACCAGAGGAATCATTATTAATTGAAATACCCGCGCTTACCTCCACAAATAATAATCAAGAACATCAAGAATCACCACGATCAAGGTAATTTCGTATGTTTGAAAAGTTATATTCTTAGATCGAAAATTATGTGTGCCGCCTGAAGCTTGTCGGATTCGGTCCGAGCTTGAGCTCGACGAACTTCAGTAACGCCTGATCTTTAAAAAAACAGCCTACTACATTTATAGAAATTTAAACAACAAGTCAATTAAGACTTTGAATATTTTCGAAATGAATAATCATATGATTTTATTTTCATTTTAGTCAATCAATGGTTTTTGTTGATACGGTTGTAACAAATATATTCAGTGTTGCTAAACAAGCAGGTTCAACAGCTAAAGCAATTTTTAATACATTACAAGCAAATGATGAGGTTAGATATACTATTTTGTTTAATAATAAAATATGTTGCTTATTTAGACAACTCAATCTCATCATCATCAACAACAACAACAACAACAACAACGAACATTGGTTAATACAAGAAATTCAAGTGTTGATGATTTTTTTGAACATGTTGATTATAGTGAAACAACGAATGGAAATTTAAGTTTATCAAATGATCCAATGGAAATATTAATTGAAATGGGTTTTGTTAATCGTGAAAAAAATCAACGTTTACTTGTAGAAAACAAAAATGATTTAAACAAAGTCATCGAGTTATTAGCCGACGATGACAATGATGATGTAGATTAATTTTCTCATCTTCATTGATATTCCGCATACGGTTTTTTGGTTCATTTTTTTGTATCTATATGTACAAAGACAATTTAGTTTTTCCTTTTCTCTTATTAATCAAGATCATTATCCTTAAATTGTATATTTTTTTTCTTCTCATTAGTATATACATAAGTGATTATTTCCAGTTTCGATGTACTAAAACTTGTTTTTCTTTCTCTTTCTTCTCTTTATTATACTAATTGGATTCACTATTTGCGAAAAAAGACTAAGGATTCTTGAAATTAAAACTTGAGTGTGTGTGTCATATTCATTCTGAACAATAAACTGCATTTTCTTGAATCTCATTTGGTTCTCTAAAAACTAATTGAACTTAATCATTTTAGTTTTTAGATTGAGTTTCTTTTATTGAGGCATTTAAAGTGCATAAATATGTGAGTGGAGTTTTTGATGTTGTGCAGTATTGTTCGCATGTTGGAATGATATAAATATGTACTCTATTGTGAATTGATTGGAGCAAGAATGTTGCTGAATGAATGTTAAAGAAACACAACAGAAAAACTTGTGTTTGTTGTTTTTTTCTTAATTATCTAGGTTGCGTCTTAATTCGCTTCTTGCAACATATGGTACAAGATCGGATAAGAAGAATGCATCCAAACAAATTTACGGTCCAAAATGTCATGAAAAATATCGACCTTTACGACAACGTACTGAAAGAGAACCACCACGTTCAATAAAATTAAAACCACAAGAATATTTTTTATTTGCTATTGCTTTTATAGCAATATCAGCTTTAATTATTTATAAGGTTTTTATGTCTTATTACAAATATTATTTATCAAATCAGGATAATTAAGATTGATTGTAAATGAAGTAATTTTATGCCAATATTTATCGATGGTTTTTTATGCTTTAGTAATTCAATATGTAAACGCATTTTAACCATTTTTCGTCTTTTCAATATACAGATAAATAGAATGAACTTTTTTTTTGTGTATCAAGTTTTAAAACTATTCAAAATAATATCGTGTTTTTTCCACGTTCCTTCAACGTTCATTTACATTTTGAACCAGAGAAAACTTATTCTCTGTTAAAAAAATAATAATTTGTGCATCTCTTAAATAATAGAAAATTGAACAAAAGATAAATAAGTAATTTTATTTTTTTACCGGATTGCGACATTTTCTCGACGGAATAATTCATTTGACAATACAAAAACATGCAATATAATGGATCAACAAGAGAATGAATGCATCTAAACGTTCATTATTTTTTTCAAATATTGTTAATATTGGATAAGTATCATTGCTCGAAAAAGAAAAGAAAATATTTATTATAGTAAAAATTAAACATGGAACAATTAATATATAATATATTTGATTATCTATTTTAAATTTTTGTTTCGAATAATTAAAATACATATAAATAATAAATAAAAGACTTATCATATTCATTATTAAACAATAGATACCAATCATTGAAATTTATTGTTCTATCCAATCATGAATCATATTGAAAATCATTACGAACAAAATAATCATAAGTGAGCATTCATCATGATATTAGACGAAGTGAACTAATACATAAAGAAATGAGAATTGTCTATAATTTATATAGATATATAACCTCCTGATTAGTACAAGCACACGATGATAACATTCGATATGAAAAAAATTTATCTTTAGATAAATAACGAATTTCATTACTTTACTGAATGATTGATAAACAAATACAATTGATTAAAAAAACTAATAAAATCAATTCACAAGACTCTTAATGAGAATAAAATGTCAGACGATATAATTACATTAAGTAATGTTGATGCTAGCAGATTCAATCAATATAAATTTCAATGAAAACAAATTAGAGTCAAAATATAAATACTAAACATAGTGATTTACAATATCCATCACCTAAAAAACAAAACTCCAAAGTATTTACCAACAAAGAAAAGCCATAAATCATCGCCATTGTGTACGTCATCTGTGTCTCGTTAGATCTTGTTTTGACTGACAGCAGTCAAACTACGTAAAAATCTGACTAGAAACAAGTAATCGAATGGAAAATAATGACTTTTGGCAGATGAGTGCACCGATCAAAGACATTATTATGGCATGAATAGAAGCAAACAGAAGTATCTATTTTTGTCTTGCTTTCTTCCAATAGATTTCAATTAAGTTTCAAGCAAATTATTTACTAATCAGGTTTTGTATTTTATTACATTCATTCTATAGAAAACAAATTGATTATTTGCAGTTTCGTCCTGCTCTATTAGACATAGTATCTTCACAGAATTTTTCTGTCAGTGGGTATAGTATTAAACAAAATAATACTTTACATGTGATTAGTCAACTGAATTTATTTCCTATCATTTTCAAAAACAAAGTAATTGATTTTTTCATACATAATTTATATTGAATAATATGAATTGTTGATAATAATATACCCATAATTGCGTTCAACATTAAAGTATTAGTTAGTTGAAAATATTGTGCTTCTATTAAACAACAAAAACAAAATAGTGCTCCGAAAAAATATAATTTATTTTTCGGAATAACAGTTTTGTTAGTTTATTGCTAGTATGATAATCTTCTTGTTTGAAAGAATGATGAAATTCTAATATATTACAGTTCTTTAGCGTGACTAATTTTTTTTTCTCTTTTGGACAGAAGAACGAATGACTATGTCTATTATGACTTCTAAATCTTATTTACAATCGTCGACAAGCGAATCATTTGTTTATAGACAAATAAATCAAATAAACTTCTATTCTGTTATTAAATAATAATGTCTACTTGTTTTATTTTAAATTCAATATGTAAAATTGATATTTTTAATAATAAATCGAACGGTTTTTATACTAATTATACAAGTTTAAATTGTCGTTCATATAATTTTTTAGTGTTAATAAAATACTTGATAAAATTTTCCAATGTGAAAATCAATCTGAATCAATATTTTAGTTCATATCGAAAATGTTGTGTAGCAAAAAATCCTTTTTATAATGAATGTTATTTAAATAATATAACAGAAAATGATAAAAATTGTGCTTGGTTTTCTATTCAATTATTAACAATACCAAATGAAACATATTATTATTCATGTTCATGTCCTTTTTTTATTTGATTTACAAACACAAGAATGTAAACATTATTCACAAGTACAATGTGGTAAACGATTTGAATCAAAAGATGCTTGTAAGAATATTGTAAAGAATAAAAAAGTCTTTATTTAAGTAACATTTAGGCGATTATCATCATTCTCAAATATATAATTCAATAAAAAGAAAACCATGTTGGTTAAAACCAAGTTGTTGTCATAAAGAAAATGTTTTTTTATGGAAATCAAATACATGAATATTCGTCTTATTATGAATGCAAAGATGAACGCTTTGTTAATTCGATAAGATATCCAAGAAATATGCATTTTTTCTGATATAATATAAAATGTGTTTATGTACATTATTCAATTGTGAAAATAAGACTTTATATGAATTTTAAAATCAATATTTTTCTTGTTCAATGTCTTTATGGTAAATAAAGATAAGTAAATTTCACTAATATTGCATGTAGATGCAAATCATATTAAATTTTTGGATGATTTGTTTGATTCACTTATTAAATTATTGATCTAAATCGGAAAACTAATCAATTTTAATCATGGAATTATTAACATAAATTGATAAGATTATGAGAATTTCTGAAACTTTTCCAACGCAAATATATTAAGAAATAGAACAAAATTAAAGATATTATTAAAGAATCTAGAATTAAAAATAACATGTAAACAACTGGTTTTAGACTTCTGTAATATTAGCCGAATCGTCATGTTCTTAAATTTTTTCCAATTTTTAGCATAATTTTTTTGCAATCTTTGAGTTTTCACTAGTCTCTTTGAGACTTCACAGGATCATCTTGAATGTTTCTATGCAGACAATTTTGGAGAAACTCGTGCGACAACAGTTATCTTGTGACAGAATACGCACATGGATAGTCAACCATAAAAATACGAATGTATCCGAAAACTTTTGATAATTTCCATTTTGTAGAGGTTTTTTTTCGTTGATCATTTTTAGTAAAAAGAGGTTTCGATTTTCATTAATAAATGACACTACTAGTCGCAAAAATACTTAAAAAAGCATAAATTGTTCTGAAGTGCAAGATCAAATTGACCGTAGCACCTTTGTTTGCTAATGAAAGTAGGCAAACCTTTTTACAGAAATAATCAACGGAAGAAGTTCTAAAAAATCAGATATATAAAAAAAAAATAGTTTCAGATGCGTGTGTTTCTTTTGATTGACTACTAACGGAATTGCCTGGAAAAAAACTAACTTTTGGTTTGAAGTGCAGGGTGTGCCAAAAGTCCCTGAAGAAAGTTTACGTAAACATGTCTTGCACAATACGAGACATGTAATTGCTTTTCTTTTAATAATATAATATAGTATATTCTTTTAAATTTATATTTCATATAAATTGATTGCAGAAAATTTATTTTATAAACTAATTTACTCTTGTTATCGGTTCTTATTTTGAACTCAACCTAATCTTTACATATATCTCATAGACATAGGTTTTCATTTTAATTTCATTGCGTATGGCTTCATCGGAAGATATTTTGTCATAATTTAGCTTATTATTATTTGTTGCACAAAGAAGGCTGTTGCAACAATCTAAACACTCGGTATTGGTGCATTTCCACCAGCATTATGGATTCTGTCGATTTTCTTTTCTGTATTTTTCAAAGGTCTTTTAGATTGTTGTTTATTTACTACTACACTGATTTCACAGAAGCATTATAAAGCATCTCTAATACAGTCTATATCTGACATTTGTATGCCTGATTCCACTTGAATTTTTTCTCGCGCTATGGAATATATCAAATTTGACTATTAACAAAACTATTTCTATCATAATGTTCATAAAACAGACAGAAAACTATTTCAAATAATATACTATAATATTATTTTAAAAAATATACATATAAATCGTTTGAGCTGTTTATGAAATATTTATGGAAATTTTCTGCACTGAGTTCTGAGACACAATGTAGATAATACTAAATTTCAAGTACGTCAATAAACGGATAATTTATCAATAAAACCTTGCAACTTTCTTCTGTCATGAGGAAAAAAATGAGTGTATTTCGTCAAAATATGGTGGAGATAGTCCAGTATTCTTTGATAGCCTATTTCTGGGACACCCAAAACTTAATTATTGCTTAAATCTGAATAGACGTTATTTTATTTTAAAACTATTGTTTCTATCGTTCGGAAAGAGTCAAACTATTGTAGATTATCAGAAAAATGTCATATCCAATTGGGTGTACTATGTTGGAAAAAACAACAACGAGAAAGAAATTTCAGCTTCTTTCCTTTGAGAATTCGACTTTTGACAAAAGAAAAGCGGAAGAAACACAATGCAGTATCAATTTGTTTTGTATGTAACAAGTAGGCAATAACATGTAACAAATATATAGAAGGCATTTAAACCTATATAATAATACTACAAAAAAACATAAACATTGAATATTCCATCGAGAATAGAACAGTTTCCTCGAGCAACATACTAATGTATTCTACTAACACAACTAATAATTATATATGTGCAGAGATCAGTAAGTACAGTATTTGATTTTCATTTCTATGCTTAAATAAAACTTTTTCTGTGTTATGTTTCTTCACATTGTTTTATATCATATAAATGAATTCTGATTGGTATTTTATACTGTATGAAGAAACTTCCGGTGAATGTGTTATCTAACAAAATAATTATTTAGTCTTCAAGTTCTTTTTTTCCTGTAATTCATAATTATATTTTTTTTATGCATCAGATATAATACCAATCATATGAAAATAACGTTATTAATCACTTCAATCCGTTAAATGCTTCATTGATTAACAAAGAAACCGCACTATATATACTTTTTATATGATTAAAATATCGTTTTCTTGGATTATTTTTTGTTGCTGTGTTTTTAATCGAATGTTTATTGATCTACACATCTATCCAATTCCCGAACGTCAATTACATCTGGTGCATGTGTTTCGGTCTTTTTTCCGACAAAGAAACTGTTTCTTTTCTTGTTCTTCATATGTGCTCTGTTGTAGTAGCTCATCTTTAGCCCATTTACGCCCTTTATATACAACCAAACAAGAAGACAATAATAGACAGAGAAAAAGAAAGATCTTCTTTTCTCGTTCGCCCGCCTTTTTTTTTACATTTAGCGAAGTATGTACTCTGTAGGAACCAATACTTCTTTGCCAATTCTTTTTTTTTGTCCTAGTGATAAGGCCAATAATCTCTGTTCCTCTTATTATCATCGACTATTGTATTAGAATACCGTACATATACCATAGAAGAATGACCTGTTTACTCTCCTATCTGATATTCGATCAATGGTTTCCTGATTATCAGTCAATCATTCTTAACGAAATGATTTCGTTTCGTCCATATTAAATGTGACATAACTAATTGATGATCATTCGGCATTTTGACGTCAACACACCGTATAATAGCATATGCTATTCAAATTATTATGGTTCGACATGCATAGATCGCTACTATATGCAGTGTCATTTATAAAAACGACACATATATGTCTATATAGATATATGATCTATTGTCACAACATAATCGGTAAACATGTATTTATCTGTGTGATTGTGTAAGCGAGAATAAGTGAAACAAACATTTAATAAGAATGAGTGACAAGAGAAAAGTGATAGAAAATTCGAGATAAAAAAAGCAAAGAACATTTTTTAAAGGCGAACCGTCTCTTTCTTTCTTCCCGAGTAAGTCTTCCGATCATGTGCTCGGATATAAAAAAAAAAAAAGAAGAAAACAAGAAGAAAAAGTTCTTTTTTTCAATCATAATGCTAGCAATGATGCAGAAGTAGTCGTAGTCAATAATGGAATACTATGGTCCATGCATGACTTCTCTAAGATTTCCGCAAGCTATAGAAAGAAAGAGCGAAAAAAAAATGTTGTGAAAAGATTCATTCATTTGTTGTATTTAGACTGTTGAAATGACTTTTTTCTTTACTGTTTTTATAATATTATTTCCATCGTATGAATTAATCATTATAGAAGGTAAGTCAACAATATCTAAATATCTTTTCTTTAATTTCTGTTTCTTAAATAATCTTATAATCTTGATAGGTTTTAAAATTAAATCTTATAGATTTATTCATTCTTATGCCTATTCACAATTAATCAATTACATTAATTTTTTCTACCTTGATATATGAAATATTTCTTGAATTTTTCTTGTTGATTCGAATTATAGAAGTACGTTAATTTGTGACAAATAATAAAACCTAGTGAAGACATATCATATGCATTGCATCAACATCTGATTAAAATAGATACTCAGGGCATGTAATTCTTGCGCTTTCTTTCATTTTTTTTCCTCTGGAGAGAGAAAAAGCTTGACATGAGATATACATATACCTAATAAGTGGCCTTGATTCTATCGCTACTTTTAGTGGTGTTCTAGTGACGCAATGTTCTGTATTCTTGTGCTGACGTCAAACATTTCCGGTTGTCCTAAGCTATTTCTTTTTTACGCCACTATACACATATATATACAGCCACACATTTTCTGTGTTGTTTTTTTCTGTATTGTCCCAGACTTAAATCACGAGCATATTTTGTTTTTCCGTTCTTTCTTGAAGATGATGACAGCGTTTTTCTGAGCTTCCGTTAAAAATGCCGATGAAACGGGGTCATGTTTCGGCTCCTCAAAATACATTTATTGATACAATTATTCGTAAATTTGACTCACAAAGTATGTTAATGTCTTTGATTATAAGATAATATAGTATATCTTTACATTAATTAGATCGACGTTTTCTTATATCCAATGCTCAATTGGTTAATAAACCAATAATCTATTGTAATGATGCATTTTGCGAATTAACTGGTTATTCACGTTCAGATATATTACAAAAATCTTGTACATGTGAATTTTTATATGGCAATGAAACAAATGAAAAATCTATTAAACAAATTCGACATGCATTACAAGGAAGTGATGAAAAAGAAGTCGAGATTATTTTATATAAAAATACTGGTATGATAATTACTGTAGTTAGGAAAAAAACGGAAATACATTTCCGTAATTTTTTGTTTATGAATATAGGCATTAAATTTCGATGTTCGGTTCTTATTGCACCGGTGAAAAATGAATCATGCGATATAATTCTATTTATACTTGAATTCACTGAAAGCAATGATCGTAATCGTCCACGACGAATTCGTATGTATCATTTGGTTCTTTTTTGATCAAAAGTTAATTATTATGTTCTTATTTGTTAATATTCTAGCTAAAATTCATGAATATTCAATTAGTCCAACAAGTATGTAGATATTTATTAAAGTTGTTTTTTTCTTTTTCAATTATTATATATAGATGGTATACGTAAACGGTCATGGCTACAACTGTTTAATCCTTTAGGAAAACATAAGCCATCGCCAACAAATGAATTAACACCAGGAGATGGAAGCGATTTTGAAGGTTCTATATCATCGCCTGATACAAGCGGTTATACAGGTAGAAATTCATTTCTTAAATGACTTGTCAAATTTTGTATTATTTCATTTCTGATTACATATGACATAGAAATAAGAAATTGAATTGAATATAAAAGAAAAACAACCTACTTGATATTTTGTAATGAGTGAATATTCTTCTCATGTATCTATTATGTGTCAAACAATCTTTCTGATGAAACGCATTAATTGATTAGATTCAAGTTTTTTTCTTCTTTTCTTCTTAGTGAGGTCTTGAGTATTTAATATATTCTCATGTCTGAACACTATATTGTATTTAAGTATCTATATTCTATTGTCTCGATTGAATACCTGTCATATAATACACAGTGAGAACATTTTGAACTCAATAGTTCACTAGAAACAGTATATGTTACAATTATATTTTTCATCAATAACAGTTCGCTGTCATATTTGAAATAAAGACTTTACTCTTTCTAATAAAATAAATGAAAGATTTTTACTCATGGGAAATATACTAAAAGTTGACAGCAAGTTTTTACTTTTTTTTTTTTATACTTATTTCTTAATTTTATTTCTTAAATAGCTTTGAATCATAAAAATACAACAACCATTCATTTGGATGAAACAATTCCAGGAACAACAAAAACTTTCCCAACTGATTATAAAATAAGCCAACAATTATCGATAAGTTCAAATAATTTATTAAAACCTGATAGTAATCCTTGGAATGCAAGTAATAGTGATGTTGAATTAATGAGAACTAAATCTCAAAGTATCAGTAATATAGCCGGTAAATTAATCATTATTTAAAAAAAAAAGAAAAGAAATATTGATTTTTCTTTTAGAAACTGTTATTAAAAAAGAAACAAAAGATTCAAAAGTTAAATGTTCATTTTTACCAAATATTCCACGTCATATAGCCCAAATTTTATCATTAGGTGAAGATGCAGTGCCTGATTTTCGTTTACCTGATAGTCGTCGTATACCGCGCACAATTATTCTTCACTATTCACCATTTAAAGCAGCATGGGACTGGTTAATATTATTACTTGTTATTTATACAGCTATTGTTACACCATATACAGCTGCTTTTCTAATGCATGAAGATGGACCAAATAAGCAACGTTCACGTCCATCACGTGCATTGAATGTTATTGAACTTATTGTTGATGTTATGTTTATAATTGATTTATTGGTAAATTTACGGACAACATACGTTAAACATAATGAAGAATTAGTAACACGTGCAAGTAAAATTGCAAAACATTATTTAAAAGGATGGTTTCTAATTGATGTAACAGCTGCTATACCATTTGATATTTTATTTTCATTAATACAAACAAAAGGTGGTGGTGAATCAACAGTATTAATGGGTTTATTAAAAACTGCGCGCTTACTAAGATTAGTACGTATAGCAAGAAAATTAGATCGTTATTCTGAATATGGCATTGGAGTTTTAATTTTATTAACTGCTACATTTGCTCTTATTGCACATTGGCTTGCTTGTATATGGTATGCTATTGGTCGTCTTGAACGAAATACTCATGGTAAATAATACATTTGATATTCTTGTTTGTTATATTAAGGAACTTGTATGATGACTTATGAGTTGAGAATTTCCTTATTTTAATTAGGTACTGAAAGAACGATTGGTTGGTTAGCTGAATTAGCTAATCATACACATCAGTATTATAATGATTCGGATCCAACATCTGGTCCGACGAAAATATCGAAATATATAACAGCTCTTTATTTTACTTTTTCTTCTCTAACTTCAGTCGGTTTTGGCAACGTGAGGTTCGCTCAGTATCATTCAAAATATGTTCTTTTCTTCAAACTATTTTCTTTCTCTAGTCCAAATACAAATAGTGAAAAGGGTTTTTCAATAATAATTATGCTCGTAGGCTGTGAGTTATGTTTTTCTTTTATCGTTTCATGTATTTTGCTTCGTTCAAATCTTATGTCTATTGTCTTCAATGTTGTGTTGTCTTTTTGTGTCGGCTTCGCTTATGTTTTTTAGGATTACGTATAACATGGCTTGATGAATTAGCACGTACATCAGGTCAATCTTATAATTGTACATCAATAATATCTACAAACGAAACAGTATCAACATCAATAAATTTAAAATCATGTTTTGGTGGACCTAATCTTCGTTCAAGATATATTACGGCACTTTATTTTACATTTTCATCTCTTACATCAGTCGGATTTGGCAATGTAAGATAAAGAAAAACAAAAATGAAACAAACAAAAACTATAAGTTTTATTTTAATTTTTTCATACATTTACATAGGTCAGTCCTAATACAAATATGGAAAAGATATTTTCCATTTTTGTTATGTTAATCGGATGTGAGGAAGAGTGCATGATGTTTTTCTTTTTTAAAATGCATGTGATTGATGTAGCTTATATGTATATAAATAATTAACCATATTGTATAGATTATCGCCATGTAATTTCAATCTATTGTGTTTTATAGCTCTGATGTATGCCAGTATTTTTGGTAATGTTAGTGCTATTATTCAAAGATTATATTCGGGTACAGCACGCTATCAAATACAAATGTTAAGGTATACATATAAGTGATAAATGATGACTTATATATCTATGATTATTATTATATTAATAGAGTAAAAGAATTTATTCGTTTTCATCAAATACCAAATCCTCTTCGACAACGACTTGAAGATTATTTTAATCATGCATGGAATTATACAAAGTAAATGATGTAGTTTTTTGTTTTAATCTTTTTATTTCTATTAATTTTTGTAAATATAGTGGTATTGACATGAATATGGTGCTGAAAGGCTTTCCAGAATGTTTACAAGCTGATATATGTTTACATTTAAATAGTGTATTGCTTAAAAATTGTCCTGCATTTAAAGGTTTGATATGAATTTGTTTGATTTTTATTTTATATTAATTGTTTTGATTTTTAGATGCTAGTGAAGGTTGTTTGCGTACATTTTCAATGAAGCTAAAAACAACTCACGCACCACCTGGTGATATAATAACACATCGAGGTGACATTTTAACATCATTATATTTTATTTCACGTGGTTCAATTGAAATATTAAAAGATGATAGTGTCGTTGCTATTCTTAGTATGTTCATAATAATTAGATTTCCGACGTTTTCTTAAGACTTTTTTTTTTCTTAGGTAAAGATGATATTCTTGGAGAAAACCCTGTATTATATAACGAACCAGGAAAATCCGCCTTTAACGTTCGTGCATTGACGTATTGTGATTTACATAAAATATTACGTGATGATTTACTTGAAGTTATTGATATGTATCCTGAATTCGCACAAAGTTTTTGTCGTAATTTAAAAATTACTCTTACACTACGTGATGTAAGTTTGTCTTATCAATAATAAAAGAAAAGTATATATATAGAAATTACATCTTTTTTTTAAAGGAAGAGCTCGTTTCAAAATCAAATGAATGTCGATCAAAATATTTACCAAATCCAAAAAATTATCGAGAAAGTAAGTATTGATTGTTATAAAACAAAACAGAATTTATCATAATAATTTTTTCTATATATATATATATCAGGTGCATGTTTTACTAAAACAGAAGATGATAATATATCAATAATGGCCCCTCATCAATCTTATTTTGACGAATATCCTAGTGGGACAGGTAAAATAAATCTTATTGCTATAAATAAGATAAACAAACATGAAAGTATGACATGCATAGTCTGTCAGATTCGACGTTGAATATAATTTCTTAATCGAATTCGTATTAAAATTTCGAGCTAATGGATCTAGTTGAATGCCTTTTCTTTTTGTTTAATCGCATGTGTCTAATTTGGTCAAAAATAATCTTTTGTGAAAGTTCATGACAGATTTAATATATATATATACTCGGTAGGATTTTTATTATTTCGTATAGTGTGTATGCGCTAGTGTTTTTTCTAATATTTTGAAGCAACACTATAGGTTAAATAAATAAACCCACACACGCACAGCAAGAAAGGATAACGTATACAAAGAGTTAAAATAGAAAAAAGCAAGTAAACAAGCAAAGATATGATAGTGTTTGTTGTTATTATATTCATTCAGGTTTGTTGGTAGGTGTGTTTTCATTGTTTGATGTTGCAACATTATCACCTAAAAAAGATAAAAGAAAGTTCTTTAAAGTACATTACGTTTTAAATGAATTTACCTTTTTGTTGAAGATCGTTCTTGACTTCTATTTAGAAGAAAAAAACATAAATGAGTCATTTTTATATGAAGAATAATTTTACTTTCGTCTATCTCTTTAACATCAACATTGAGTTCTTTAGTTTTACCTTTTGCTTCGTCCACCTTTTCAACTACTGTTTCTTTTGCTTCTTCAACTACAAGAGTTACAGTGTTATTTTGAAAGTTTTTTTTACAAAGATAATTAAACCTTTTTGTTCGCCATGATGTTCGGCTTCTGGTAATATGAAATTGAAAATTAGGAAAAAATCTTTTTTAAATGGCAATTTTTTTACCTTGACCTTTTTCTTTAATATCAGCAGCTAATTCTTTAGCTTCATCTTTTGTTTCTTCAATTTTGTCAGTTGCTGCTTGTTTCAATTCACCAGCTGAATATTCAAAATAGAAAAATTTTACAAGACTAAATGAAAACTCTACTTGTTTCTTGAGCTTCTTGTTTAACTTCTATTCAAACGAAAATATAACTTAGACAATTTCATTTTATAAATTCTACGAAATTTACCTGCGCTGGTCTCTTTTACATCAGATATTAATTCATCGGCCTTCTCTTTTACTTCCTCGACTTTCTCAGAAGCTGTCTCTTTTACTTCACCAGCTAAATTTTTGAAAAAATAAGATAAATTTGAAAAGCTAAATATAAATCTTACCTGTTTCTTGAACATCTTGTTTGACTTCTATTCGAATAAAATCAAGAATTATAAAATTTCATTTTGAATATAGACATATTTACCTTCGGCTGCTTGTTGTACTTCTGAAGTAACTTCACTAGCCTTATCTTTTGCTTCGTCTATTTTCTCAGAGACTGTCTCTTTTAATTCACCGGCTGAAATTTCAAAATGAAAAACTTTGAAAAACCTAAATGAAAGTCTTACCTGTTTGTTGTACATCTTGTTGAACCTCTAATCAGACGAAAATATTAATGAGATAAGTCATTTTGAAAAAATTCAAGATATTTACCTTCGGTTTTCTCTTTTGGCTCAGATGCTAATTCATCAACTTTCTCAGATGTTTGCTCTTTCAATTCGGTAGCTATTTAATGCAAAATATTTTTTCATAGTTTGAAGATAATTAGATTTTTCTTTTACCTTTGTCTTGAGCTTGATCGAGTGCTTCGCTTGCTATAGAAAACAAATATAAAAAAAAATTTTTTTTTATCAAATATAACTTACCTGTTTCCTTGGCATCACTTGCCGCTCCAGCAAGACTAAATGAACACGTTGAATTAAATAGGAAACATTTGTTAAATGAAAACTACCTATGAATAGATTCTTGTGCCGAATGGACAAGAGCCGCACCGACTTCCTCGACTTTTTCTACAATCTATGAAACAGAAAACAATACAAAATATGGCTTTTTCTTCATAAAGATACTAACTGATTGTACAGCACGAACGACTTTTTCACCAATAGAACTTGTAGCATCAGCGACCGTTTCTGGAATGGCTTGCGTTGTTTCAACAACCTAAAAAAATTATCTTAATTTAAACAGACGCTACGGATAGACTTTTTCACTTACAGCATGTCCAGTTTCTTGTGCTTTTTCAACTACTGCATCTTTAACATGAATAGCTGATTCAACAATAGTAGTTTTCGCTTCATCGGTTTCTTTAGATGCATTATCCACAGATGGAGTATCACTTTGTTTCTTTTGATCGACTTTTTCTTGAGTAGCTTCTTTTACTTCATCAACTTTCTTTTCAGTTGTATCTTTAAGTTCTTCAGCTTTTTTCGATGCATCATCTATTAATTGAGTTCCAGTTTCTTGTGATGTGTCTTTCACTTCATCGGCTTTCTTCGAGGCATCATCAGTTAATTGTGCATGAGCTTCTGTTGTTTGTTCGACTTTTGTCTCTGCAACGTCTGTGGCTTCACCAGTTGATTGAACAGCTAAAGAGAACAGGAAGATTATGTTTTTCTTGTAGCAAATATCTGAGTAATACAATGTTGTTTTACATTTTTATGCACATTGAAAATAAATATTCATCCTCGGAGAACAGTTTGATGAAAGAAAAACTTTCCCTAGGGCAATTTATAAATTACATTTTTTTTCTATGGAAAACACTTTCCAATGAAAGTTGATATTCGTTGGATTGAATAATTGTCTTTTATCGTTAAAGAAACGACGCATCTAGTTAATTGACTATTTAAACAACGTACCAGCTACTTGAGCATCGTTAGCGACTTGTTTTACATCATCACTTGCTGTTTTTTCAGCATCTTTGACTTCATTAATTTTTTCTTTAGTTGCATCAGCAGTTTCATTTACTGTTCCTGTCAATTCAGCATCTGATAAACAAAATAGAATATGAAAAACGAAAATCATAATAGTAATAAATAGTTACCTTTCTGTTCTGTATTCTGTTTGATGTCCGTTCCTTGTTGTTCAGCATTCTGTTGTAATTGTTGACTGGCATCATGCTCTGTTTGAAAGAATAATAATAATCATTTATAGATATATCACACATATTCATAATGAACTACTTACGTTGTGTATTACTGTCTTTGGTATCAACCTGAACATCCGAAACAGGTGTAGATTGCACTTGTTGATTGTCTGACATAGCTTTTGTCAATATGTTTTCAAATGATGTTTAGAAATAAGCAAATCTGGAAAAAATCATGAAGAATAGAAACATTATGCTCTTTCTCATTCCTGATCATGCATCTAATAATATGGCCCGAGAACAATACATAGCAGATATGCGAGCTGATATCTCATCACTTTCGATGAGGCAAACAAACATAAATACGCCCCTCTACTACTGTTTATATATCTCCGTAGATTAGAAAGAAAAAAAAAAGATCGACATTCCTACGGTAGTCAGCCGGTTAGATTGTCTGACATAAATGACCTGAGAAATGTACGCCAATGAATAAAGAAAAAAAGAGTACTTATTTACGGAGTCTTCCTTTTTTTTGAGATATGGCCTCATATATTTTCTACAGTCAGCAGTTTTGTACTTTTCTATTACTTGCAAACACAGTCATTCATCATACTTATTGTCTAACAACAAAAGAAAATAAACAATTCCTTATCATCTTGTGAGTCTTAATATTCATCTCATAGTAAAAACTAACGACGCAATGGGAACATTTTCGTCATATCATTTTTCATTTCTACAAAGCACGTGAATACGAAAGAATGTGTGTACCTATATTCAAATAATAAATAAAAAAACAAAAAAAAACATCTTTGCTTAAATTATATCATTAAATATACGATTCTTAAATGCGTTTTTGATATCTATCGATAGCTAATTGATCATTAATTTAATTGCACGTGTTCTAATAGTACAGGACGTGTAAATAATTATTTGTTTGTGAGGAGAAATAGGATCGGCGATATAAAGTGTCAGTTTAGCAGCTAGGACAATCAATGATGTCTTCGGGATATACGAAACCCAGTTTAACAGCTGGTATTATAAAGAAAAGCAAGCACTTTAAGACGAGGAATATGTACTTTGAAAAATACTGTGTTTTAGTATCATTTTTCTAATCTCTCTATTTATATTCTACTTAGGTATACTCGAATTTAATCCTCAACTAGCTGGTCAAGATATAACTCCGGCTAATCTTGAATTTGGATCAACTGCATCACGCCGTCGTGATCGTCGAGAAAAATCTTTGAGTGGTGTATCTGGTTTTCAAGGTTAATTTTTATTTTTCTATGTAAAATGTTTATTTATTGTAAAATTTAATTTTAGTTACTCAACCTTCATATAATGCTGCACCTCGTACATCATCATTTACAGCAGTTGCTGATGAATTTATTCCATCAGTTAGTAACAAGAAAAATGACATTTTTTTTTGTTTAACTAAATATTTCTTTTAGACAAATCAATTACATTCACTTGATCCTTATCAATCCAGTGTAGAATATCGATTACAAGAATTAACTAAGTAAATAGTCTTTTCTTTTTTTTCTAATCATGCAATTGATTATATCATTATGCTGTATTTTATAGACGATTAACAATACTAGAAACAAAATTAACTGAAGATGTTTCTTCTGTACTTACTATTTTACAACGTCAATTTCCTCCTAATTCATTAGCTTCTTCATCATCTGCTGAAACATTAAAAGCTAGTAGCTGATCGGATGGACAATAACAAGTTGTTCTGTGATAATATCTTTTTTCGTTTGGGTCTTCTATTTTTTTTTGTCTTGCTTTACATACAAAACCTCCAACTGATAAAAAATTTTTTTTTGTTTTTCAACAAATTTATCTAATGAATTCATATATCACTTTTTGCCTTCTTCATTCTCTTGATGTTCAGAAGGTCCGTCCTTTTGATACCTTCTCTCTTCACATTGACCGATAGCAATCTGTATTTGTATGCATGTAAATTAATTGTAATAAATAACACAACAAATCATTTTAGACCTTAGCAGATTTCGTTTTTCTTTACAAGATTAATTTAACAAGATAAGAAATTCGAAATAAAAATAAACTATTTATTAGCTAATATGAAGAAAATCTTAATTTTTGAGATCATTTTAACACTGACACTCACAAGAAAAATCAAAAATCAAGATACTAGACGAAATATCAAATACTTCCGTGTGTGTGCAATGCTCAATCGTTAACATTAAATTGTCAAGAGCGGTAGATTGTTCGGAGAAATTAGTCTTAATCATGCAAATTCTGACTATAACTATTATCCGAAAGTAAATATTACAAGAAGAAAAACCCAGTGTACTTCGAGCCAGAAATGAGCAAGATTTGATTTATAATTTATCGAATCGATCTCAGCTCCAGTTCTTAACTAAATCGATACAATTAAGATTAGTATAGGCACAGATCATGTAAGAAAAGTCAACCAAAAAACAATTTCATAATGAAAATATTCATTTATTTTCTTGTGCTGTTTTCAGCTAAAATAAAAACATACCGAGAACAAATCAATTATAGTATTTAGTGTAGAAAAAAACAAATAAAATTACTTAATGATCGATCAAATCAAATTCAATACAATATATATTGATTTCTCCTTTATTAACACGAATCGAGTAAAAAATGATTGATAACAAAAAAAGAAATTATTGATTTTCATTGTACATGCTTCTCTCATAATAGATGGCCTTGAGTGTCCTATTATGTCCTAGGAGACCTTCTATTTGATTTATGTTTTTTAATTACTAATAATTAAAAATATTTTACAAAAAAGTACGAAGGATTTTTCAGAATAAAAAAGATGCACGAATCGTACTTGTTTCATTCTTCATTGATTTTCAATTCAGAATCATGGAAATTGGGAAATATTTTCCATTAAGGTCATTGACTCTAGTTACAATTTCATAATTAATTATATAATTAACGGAAGATTTTCATTAATATAAAGAAGAATAGCTCTTTCAAAGGGACTCTCTATTAAGAACAAGTCTTCTGATACAGAAAATGTCCGACTGCTTTCAACGACGCTCGTTTAAAATAAAATTTTTATGGTATTGGTTATCTCTAAGCGCCTTCTTTCTGGTGATTTCTGTCATCATTTATTTGAAAAATACGTTGTCTTTAGAAAAAGTGGGGAAGGTTTTTCTTTTTTTGCTCTGTTTATACTTTTTGGATAGCACATTCGAGAATTATCAAAAAAGTTACATTGTAGCTCATTGCTGTTTTATTTTTCAATTAAGATTTTTTATTATCATATGAAAAAGAACTTCTATAAATAGATGACCATCTTTTGAGAGGTTTCCGAGGTATTGAAGTTGACATCGATTTTTTTGGCATAAAAAGAAAACAAAAGAAAACTTCGAGTTTCGAAAGGAGTTACTTTTGACCTTTCTTTGAGGGGGGTATTTCTCGAAAATATTGTCATACAAAGCTGAAAATCTTAGCATAGCCTCTTCAATACATCTGCAATATTTCCTGAAAATTTCATATTAGTTTGATTCGATCTGGAAATTATCAATTTCAGTTTAGATTCGATTTCGAAAACCTTGAATTGAGTCATCTCTATGAATAAACAATGTAGTTAAATTTTGGTCACCTTTTGAATGTCAATAAGATTCGTTAATAAAAATGATGAGTATGACCAAATGAAGCTGCTTCCAAGATATTTGTTTTATTAGACACTCTACAATACATAAAACTTTAGACTAAACTATAATATAGCGATGATTTCTTGTCGAAGCGGACGATTCAGTGTTGCACTTTCTCGACGACAAATGCCAGCAATAGTTCAAATTGTATCAAATCAACATAAAGTCACAGTTCATTTAATAAAGATACAACGGGATTCATTCAATATGCAATAATGTATCAGATATGGCCATGTTCCTTACGAACTAGGTCGTCTCATTATCTCTTGGAACTTTTGCGATGTTTTCACATAAATTGCATTAGCATTTTTCTTTTTTAATGTATGCGTCTCTATTCATACATATACGCATTCATATCTTGTTTTTACCTTGTCATCTATCTATACTTTACTTGACTACTCTTATTGAAATAAATCAAACTCATGTTTAAATAAAATACATCAAAACTCACATTCTAGAGAGTAGATTCACTCAGACATTGAATTGCCGATGTCTACATGTGTATATGTTGAAATATCCGGATCGTTTACTACTAATGACTCATAAGAGAAAAATGGCCAACTGATCTAATTTGCCTGTACGACAGGCAGGGTGGCCAAATCTTCCGATATGGCAGGAAAAATTCCGATTTTTGAAATTTTTTCCGACGACTTTCCGACGTTCCGATTTTTTCCGATTTTAGCATATTTTTCCGATCACTTTCCGATTTTCTAATTTCTCTCCGGTTTTAGGAGTTTTTTTTAAATTCAAGTTTTTGGAACAGTTTAGAATAACTTAACGATGACTCAATACTACATANAGATAAGTGAAACCTATTCTATAATTTAATAGATGATATATTTGAAAAAATTCAAACTATCTGTAATGTACGATCTACTGAAAAGCTATTTGCTGTGAGTTTAACATGTTAATACTTTGTATTTGACGATTCTCGTTGTAACGACTAAATATGAAAAGAGTTTTAGGTGTTGACAGTAGAATGAATACAAATCTATGATCAAACACGAGAAAACAAATCGAAAATTATGTTCACATTTCTGATATTCATAACGAAAAATTAGGTAAAATAGACCTAATTAGTATCTGTCCTGATTTTCTTTCAAAAAAATTACAGTAGAAAAACGTTTTCTGATTTTCAGCAGTATTTGTTAGCTCAGTACATTCTGTTGATTCTAGATTAGGTTTCACTTATCTATTTACATGTTGATCATGAACTAAATAAGTAATGCTGTAAGGAAACTTTTATTACTTTTCCAATAATTACTCAAATGAGAAAATTCCGAAATATGTTTTTACTGGAGTAGGAGTTACCAAGCTAGAAATTTTTTTTTTTAAATTCACTCTTCACCATTGTCTGGAAGAAATGTTCCATCTCTTCAAGGTTAAACTCATGCGGCCACCTATGCTCTACACACCTCGTTTTGGGAGTTCAAGTGCTAGCTATAACACAAACGGTATTTTATTTGTCATGAGTGTTCTTCTAACATCAGTTCTTAAAACTGAATTCAGCAAATCGTG